CCAAGGACCCTGACTGTTCTGACTAAGTTGCAGAACTGAACTCTGAGCAGGGTCCTGCGGTGAGGGTGGGCCTGCAGCGGCAATGGCAATACAGGAGATTAAGCTAGACTTAAACAAGAGCTCCTGATGTGGTCATGAGTCTTTTGATTGAGAACCTGACTCCTGAGTAAGAACCAAGGCTACTCACTTAACTACAGGAAACGAGGAGACTCTATGGAGCCTAAGAGCAGAATTTTCTAGATTACATATCTTTCAGTCTGGATTATAACTCTTTCAACTAAATGCCTGCAAATGCAGGGTGAAATTTAACAGAAATCCAAAATGGGGCATATCAGGGAAACAGAAATGTGGCACTGAATGATGGCAGAAAGTGCATTTGCAGATGTTCTCAGCAATCCAGGGCTTGGCGCTCTGGTTTTCATTTCCTTTGACCAGACATTCCAGACCCCACCCCCCCCACAAGTCACATGGATGGGCAGGCACAGCCCTGCGGGATGCAGCAGGCGTCTCTGGAAGGGCCTCCTCAGCGGGTTGGCGGCCAGCTGGAAGAGCCTGGGGCCACCTGTCTGGTCAGAACTTCTCTGCTGTGGGCCTCTCAGAGCCAGGGCTGGCTTTGTGGTCTGACTAAAGTGACAATGAAATTAATAGGATCCTGATGCTGTGACTGAAGCCATTTCCCTGTGTCTCCAAACAGGGATAAAAGAGGAAATGTCATTAGGACGCCAGGAGGCTTTTGAAATCTTCAAGAGGGACCATGCTGACAGCGTTACCATTGATGACAACAAACAGATTTTGAAACAGAGGTAAGGCTGTCTCAGAGAGCAGCTGGTCCTCCAAGGTTTAGCCAGGCCTGTTTAGGGGAAATTTGCTATTCGCTCCTTCCTAATCTGCCCGATCTCATGTTTAAATAAAAGGTGTGATATTTAATTATGTCCAGTTTGGTACAGTTCTCTTTCATGTGTATGAGTCTCATCTCGAAACTATTGGGGTAGGCCACCTCAGAGCAGAGTCTGTCACTGATGGCATTAACTTGACAGTCAGTTCTGACCATACATTCATTGTCATCAGCCTGGGACTCCTCCAGTGTCTTACTGTTCCAAAGGAAGGACAAAAAGATCTATGGACAAAATTCTATTCTTAAAACTCCAGGGCCTCCAGCCATTCTGGAGAACAATCCTGCATTTTTTTCATCAAAGAAAATACAGGTTCACTATCCCTTCTAAAATGCTTGGGACCATAAGTGTTGAGGATTTTGAATTTTTTTTTTGGATCATTTGTATGTACATAATGAGATACCTTAGAGATGGGACAGAGGTCTAAACATGAAATTCATTCATATTTCATATTTTATATACATAGCCTGGAGGTAATTTTATTCAAAGTTTTTATAACACATTTTGACGGCAACCCATCACACGAGGTCAGGTATGGAATTTTCCATGGGTGGTGTCATATCAGCACTCAAGAAGTTTTGGATATTGGAGCATTTCAGGTTTTTGATTTTCCAATTAGGGATGCTCAACCTGAATACATACATCTTATGACCCAGGGTCCTTTGGTGGATTCTCCAGGCTAAAATCAGAAAAGGCAGGAGCATCTGTTGACACATTGTCAAACAAAGCTAGATTCTGGACCTCTTTAGAAAAAACTTAGAGATATAATTCCTTTCAGCTAGCCTGTGAATGTTTGGGTCATCAGAAAAGTTATAATGTATTTTTCTATATTCTTCTATGCAAAAATGCGTCTTGACTTTTTCAATGACCCAACAGGCACATATCCCCAAACCATCAAAAGCAAAAGCATTGTCAGATGTTTGCTTCTAGATCTCAGAAGAAAAGAGTTCTAGACAGAAACTCGACTCTAGTCACATATGGCTCTGGATCTTAGCACACAGAAAGAAAAACTTTATTACTTCCATGAGCCAGAGAGATACACAGAGAAAAAGAAAAAGATGGCACCCCCCAAAAGCACCGTGGTCTACCCCCAACTCCAGCTAGCCCTGGATCGTGAGCATCAGTGTGCCCAAAATACACAGGGTAATCTCTGAACATGGACCTGTAACCTTCTCCTGTGGGTCAGCATCACAGGGCTGGCACCACCAGCCAGCCCCAATAAATTTTCAAAAACTACTCATTGAATTCAAATGAGATCCAGACTTGAGAGTCATATACTTAAAAATGACAATTCAAGGAAGCCTCAGAAGTAGATGAGCTATGAGGGAAGTATGTGGAAGTGCAAAAGCCTATAGGATAGACCACAGTTTGAGACCCAGTGGCTTAAACTCAAGCCGGGCGAGTATGCATGCGTGCCCAAGATCCCAAGAAGAGAATGGAGGAGAAGGGATTGCGGCATGGCCTTCCCCCCTGGGGGGTGATTTCTCACTTTCTGTCTCTCTGTCTCTCTCTCTGTCTTTCTGGTGAGCACACACACCCTATAGCAAAAACCTCTAAAAAAAAAAAAAAAAAAAAAAAAAGCCTATAGGATAAAACCACAAGGGAGGGAATGGAGGAGGTCATGATGGAGGCTGAAAAGAAGCAGAGAGAGAAGGGGAAGACCCAGGAAAAAATCATGACCTGAACGCCTAGAGTTCTGAGAGGTGGGTCCAAAAGAAGCATGTTGTCAGTGTTGTCAGATGCCAAGAAATAAGCAAGAGGGAACTGCAAGTGCACATATTTGGTAGCTAGAAATGGAGTGTGGGGTGAGAAGGAACAAGTGAGAAGAAATTGAGGGAGCAGAGAAGGAGTGCAGTGTGTTCAAAAGTTTGTGATAGATAAAAAACATTTTTAAAAAGAAGGGGCCACCCTGTAGTATCATGGTTAAGGCATCTGGATCACACATGCCCAACCGCATGGTTTGAATCCTGGACCTGGCAGCTTAAAAAGCTCAGTGGGCACGTGTGCTTGCGTGCCCAAAATCCTGATAGGAGGTGGAGATGGAGAAGGATTACCACATGGCCATGCCCCAGAGGGGGTGCTTTCTCGCTCGCTCGCTCTCTCCATGGAACAGATGTGCCCTCTGGCAATTTTTTTTCTAAGTAGAAGAAGGAAAACAAAAGGAGGTAACTTGAGGAGAAAGGAAGTTTATGAAACTTCCCAGGATTTGTAAAAGAATTCCACAGAAGCAAGCCAGTGACAAGAGAATGGTAGAAAAATCAGAAAAGCTGCCACAACAGGCTTCTGAAAGACAGTCGCAGAGAGTCTTAGGTAGAGAGTCAAAAGCACAGGGCAGGTTAGTCCTGGGAGAAATCACAGGTGGAACAACAAATCCAGATGGCACTGCTACAGGCTATTAGAAGTGGAGGGAGAAAGTTAAAGGTGACCTCTGTTTTCTCTGTGGAAAAAAAAAAAGTTGAAGTAGAAGAAGAAACTTGAGGATGGAGATTACGGTTTACTATTAACAGCTGTAATATGGATTGGAAAAGAAGATAGACGTGAAAGAAGAAAAAGGAAAGGCAAGCAGCATCAAGGGTTCAGGACCCATCCCAGACTTTTACAATTTAGTGGGAGAAGATCCAGATTCAGGAATTCAGGGAAGGTGATGAAAGTGGAGCCATTCTGAAAGAGGAGTCTGGCCCTTATTAGTCAAAAGAAATATATGCATCCCCTGTGACCCAGCAATTCGACTTCTGGGTGTATCTTCCAAGAAGCTTCCATCAGGCTCACAAGGGACATATATGATGTTCACAACAGTACTATTTGTGGCTGAGAAAAGCTGGGAACAACGTGGGTGTCCATCACTGAAGAGGAGATGGACAAAACAGTGGGGAAGCCCTAGAAGTGGGATGCAGCAGTTGAGAGCAGTAGATTAGATACCAACAAGGATAGATCTTAAAAGCCAGCAGATGGCATCACTGGACTCCCACATAGTCAACTGTGGTTCGAGTCCCAGACCTGGCAGCTTGAAACTCATGGAGGGTGCATGTGTATGCGTGCCCAAAATCCCAAAAGAAGAATAGAGGAGAAAGGACTGCAGCATGGCCATCCCCGCAAGGGGTGATTTCTCACTTCTGTCTTGATGTCTTTCTGGCAAGCTCATGTGCCCTATAGCAAGAATCTCTCTTTAAAAACAAATAGACAAATCACATAAATTACAAATATATGCATACAAAACAAACAAAAAGATATGCTTTGTCACACTTCAGCCATAAGAATGGGGCAGGACATGGGGATAAAAAGGAATGAATGAATAAAACAAGAGGAAGGGAGAGAAATAAGGCAAATGCAGTAAAAGCCAAGTGGCCATATGCACATCTACATACAGTTTAGCATGTAAATTCAAGAATTTTACAAACCTAATGCTTATCCATGCTATAATCCATGTGTTGGAGCAAGACACCTCGTCTGTCTGAAGATAAGCTTATCAAGTTAGATGACAGCTGCTTCATTGGATAAAAACTTCCCGAGAGCCCTCAGCTGAGCCCATACCCAGCCTTCTTAGCTTATACCAGTGGCTCATAAGCCTGGCTTCATATTAAATTGATCCACAGAACTTTTAAAATCTACCAGAGCCTAAGTGGGAAAGATCTGGCCTGACTGCCTAGATATTCTAATTTAATTATGTAAGGCCTGAACAGCTGTTCCGAAAGAAAGAAAGAAAGAAAGAAAGAAAGAAAGAAAGAAAGAAAGAAAGAAAGAAAGAAAGAAAGAGAAAG